GATTTATTGTCCCCCTTCACTATTAGTAGATGAGTGTAGATAGGAAGTTTTATTATTTTTTGTTGGAATGGGTGGCTAGAGGATTGATGACCCATAGCCATCCTGTTCGGGGATCTTGTTACTATTTCTGGGGTGGACAATGTCTCCTGTTATTTCACAGGCCCCACCACAGCCATTACTACCCAGTTGCTAGTTTCAACAGCTTAGTATATTGGCCCCATTTATTTATTTATTCTAATGTGCCAGCTGGCTAGCAAGTGTTTCATTACATTAATTTGTCTTATAAAGACATTTTCTAGGTACATCTTGGATTTAAATATAATCATGCAATGAAAAGAAAATATATAGATATGTATACACTATTCAGAATTACATTAACACCCTATTCACCAGCATTTAGAAAAATAGTATATTAAGCCATACTTTTCAATGTGCAGCACTGTCAGTTCTATAAATATATGAGATGTAATCGTTTCCCTACCTTATTCCTTTTTCCTAGCATCTTGCAAGGTCAGCTCTTTCTAATCTCTCAAAACACAGGCACAAATGTATCTGAGAAAGATTAATGCAGTACTGGATGTACAGCAGAGGTTAAAACAGACCTGGCTTTTATCTGATCAGAAAAAATGGATCTCCATATGTCTCTGTTTTTTTCAAAAAAAAGTTTGTACAAATTCTGTTAGTTTGGGCAATGCGTGGACGTTATGGTTAAATATAGGGGATTGGTAAAGAGAATATTAAAAAGAAGTGACAGTTCCCTTGTAGTGGTTATGGTGCCATGAGTCTTCCGGTGCTCCCCAGTCAGGGCTGGATTAACATAGGGGCTGATGGAGCTGCAGCTCCAGGCCCATGACTATGGAATAGGCCAATCGATTTAAAAAAAAAAAATAAAAAATAAAATATATATATATATATATATATATATATATATATATATATATATATATATGTGAATATATATATATATTTTTTATATAAGTGTTTTTATTCTTTTTATAAGAAACATAGCATAAGATAAACTGGTGTACAGAAAGTAAAAAAGGGAAAGGCAGGGATAACATCACAGGGCATGTACAGATCAATTTATTTAAGCATTCACCATACAATTATGCAACACAAGTTGCTTTAGTCATCTTGATGCAACTACATTTGGGGTTAAAGCTGTGGGAATTCTAGCTAATACTCTCCAAACACATGTTTGTCCCCCTACTCTCCGGTAACTGTGTAATAGCCCGTCAGGAGCACAACTGTGGGTAGACTTGTATAGCTAGAGCCTTCATCAATGCCAAATTATCTGTAGGTGGTACCTACTGCTTATTGTTACACTTCAAGAATTTGTTGCTGACCATGGGACAGTAGGCATGGAGCTGCACTGGGGTCCTGTACCATCTGGTGCCTCTTTTGTAAACGGTCTCATTTTCGAGAAATACTAACTGGAGTTTTCATCCCTGCTTCCTTATTGGACATATAAATGTGTAGGCCTCTCATCCACGTTTGTTGGAATGAGACCACCTGTTGCTCCACAGAGCCAGTTTGGAGTATGTGGTAAATTTAGATAGTGGGCATTTATGGTCACTACCTGGGCCACATAGAAGCTAAAAGGGAGTTTTGTCCCTGGGTTGCCAAATAGGCAGTACCGACCGATTAGTGTAGTAAAGTTTTCAATTGTGATGTTCCCATTATATCTAGTTGCTTGTCTGTTCAGTCAGGGAACGTCCCTTATTTTAGGAGGGTCATCCTCCATCAAAACCTTTGTTATGTCAGCCATAATATTATGGTACTTCCCTGCCCACTATGAAAGTTAGGGTTACCCGCTAGGGGAAAGAATACGGACAACCCCGGAGACAAATTCCATGTGTTTTTATGCCGTCCTCAAGTCTGTAGAATGTATTGTTTAAGGGGGTGTGTAGTTGGGGAGAGGTCTCATAGTTGGAACATTTGCCAGGGTAGTGATTGGAGAGACACCTTCAGAAAATTCTGTTCCAGTCTCTACCATGATTTTTTCTTATCAGTGTGAGCAAGACCGCTGCATAGTATCTGTATAAATGTGGTAGGCTAAGCCCGCCCCTGCCTATGGTGGACGTCAGAGTATTGTAGGGTAAGCGTGCCGTTTTATGGCCCCATATGTAAGTCGTGAATATTGTCCGCATGGGGAGGAAGAATTCACCTAATATAGGGATTGAGAGAGCTTGAAACATGTACAACACCCTAGGCAGGATCATCATCTTCAGGACATTAACCCTACCCATTAGCGAGAAATAGGGCATGTCCCATTTATAAAGATCCCGTCTAATGTCCTCCATGAGAGGAGAGTAATTTAATTTAAAGAGGTCTGTGGGTTTTAAGGCAAGGCGGATCCCTAGGTAAATTAGCCCAGAGCCCGTCCATTTAAATGTATGTGTTTCCTGTATGCCTAGTTGCCATCTTGGTGGTACCGAGACCCCCAAGATTTTGCATTTATCTGCGTTAATCTTAAAGTTTGACAGCTCTCCAAATTTTTCAATTTCCGCCTGAATATGCGGTAAAGTGCGTAATGGGTCAGTGATCGCAAGAAGGACATCACCGCAAACACGGAGACCTTAACTTCTTCCCCAGTATATATGTATCCCAGGATATTACTATTGTTCCGAATGGCCGTTAGAAAGCGTTCCATGGCAAGGACAAATAGGATAGGGGAATGCCCTGCTTACATCAAAGGGATTAGACAGTTGTCCGTTGACCCTAACACTGGCTGAATGCCCTCTATAGAGTGCCTGTATCCAGTTCCTCAGCCCAAGCTCCAATGCCTCTAGGGTAGTGAAAAGATAGAACCAGTCCACCCTGTCAAACACCTTCTCGGCGTTAACCGCTAGAAGCAATGTTGGAGTTTTGGTTGTGGTCACCCCATGTATCATGTTGAGAATTTTTGTGGTATTATCCCTGGCATTGCGACCAGGTATAAGTCCAGTCTGATCAGGGTGGATCAGTCCAGGCAGAAGGGGCTTAAGTCTGTTGTTGATAAGTTTGGCAAACAACTTCAGATCTAAGTTAATAAGAGAGATAGGCCTATAGCTGCCACATGCTGTAGGGTCTTTCCCTGGTTTAGGGATGACAGTAATCAATGGTCGTAGCATCGGTGGAGGGAGCGGGGAGCCTGGGATCATCCCATTGATTCTTTTGAGTATATGTGGTCCCATATTGGACGCAAATGTTTGGTAGCAGCATGCTGTTAGGCCATCTGGGCCCGCACATTTGCCCTTTGGCATGGTTTTAATGGCTAAGTAAAGTTCTGCACTGGAGAATGGTTCCTCTAGTTTGTCTGCCACAGTGCTAGAGACAGTAAGTGGGAGATTCGAGTCTATATATTCCCTCAAGCTTGAGGGGGTACAGTCGGGAGGGGTCAGATTATAATGGTCATGGTAGAAGTCACTAAAGGATGAGGTTATGTTTTCAATAGTGTTGCATTGTTTCCCATCCCTAGTGTTTATTTTGGTTATAAAGGTTTTCTGGAGTTTTGTTTTTAGAGCCTGAGCTAGTAAATTCCCACTTTTATTGCTGTGTGAATAAAAGGAGCTCCTCATCATTTGGACCAATCTATATGCCTTTAGAGCCAAAAAAGAACAGCGTTCTACCCTATGTGCCATTAGGCATTGGAAATGTTCCTGTTTGGGGGCCTGTTTATCAATGGCCTCCATCTCGTGTATGGCCGTTGTAAGGGAGTTTAGTTTGTTTATGCGTTCCTTTTTAATTCTAGAGCACCACTTAATCAAAGTACCCCTGATGACTCCCTTATGGGCTTCCCATAACCAGGGGTCAGTCATGTCTGGTGTGGTGTGTTCTAGAAAGTAGTTGTTTAGTGTTGTGCAGAGGTCTTCTATAACCCGTGGATCACCTGAAAGAGGGTTTTATTCAAACGCCAGTTTGTATTCCGTTTAGCGTCTCCCTGTAGGCGTATGGTTAGGAAGATAAGGACATGGTCAGACCATGTGATATGATAGATGCTCCTTTGAGCAGGTGAAGGTGCCTGTGGCCCAGGAAGAACATCTCTATCCTGGAATAGCTATTTGCCACTGGGAAATGGAATGTGTAGTCCCTTTCCTGTATTTGTATCAATCGCCAGCAATCCATCAGTTGATGTGCATGCAGTGTTTTAGAAAATAGTGATGTCTGACGACTTTAACAGTAGAGGAGTGTTCTATCACCATGTTCCAGTCTCCCCCCACAATTAGAATCCCCTCTGAGAATCCTTCCAATTTCCTCAGGCAAAGGATACCTGGCCCAAATTTGGGGCATATTCCTCTTAATAAACAGCTAATCGGAGTCCAGTGTGACATTCAGTCCATTGCTGCTCGGCAGCTTCTCCATCGTCTTCCAGGGCCTGCACCCTGGCACCCAATTGCTAGACATCGGTGCTGACCATCTGGATTTTGTCACTGAAGCCCTCCTCCAGTCTCTGGAACATGGCAACAAGGTCTGTTTTGGATAGGAGTTGTGTGTGCAGGGCTTTGATGTCGGTGTCATCCATGGAGCCCTCTGATGCAGATGGGCTTGACGGCTGGCAACCTCGTGCGCTTGCATGAGGTGCCATTTTGCTCTGCTGCTCCAGCTCCATTTGTTCAGAGAAAAACCTCCGCAAAGAGGATTTCGAGAACGCTGGGTTGTTGGTAGGGGTAGTCCCGACTGTATTGCGTTGCTGTTTAGATGCCATTGTTTCTGTAAGGTGCTGGGTTTCTCCGTTCTCATCCAGTTACTTGCAGAGCTTGGCTTTCATGCAACCATCCATGCTGGAGTCTATGCCATGCCCCTATTATTTTTTTTAACTACTCTTGCTCGTGCTTAAGTATGGAAACCTAAGAGGGACATAGGGGAACAAAACTGGTGACTGGCTGACAATGAAATTAGTTAATGTAAAGATGACTTTGCGCACTATGCAAATGCTCCTGCTGCTTCAGTCTCTCTAACACTGTGGCATGTACCCTTTCTTCTACACTCATTACATACACTTTTTCTCTGTCTCAGACTGTGAAGAAATCCCTCTTTGTGTTCGTTATTTCTCCCCTTTTTCATTCGGTAGATGTAACTACCGAACAGAGACCACCCCCCTGGCTCGTTAACTTCAAAGCATGCCTCAATTGAACCCTCTACCTGTGCGGCCGTCGTTCGTATTGCCGAACGCCACGTGGCTGAGAAAACGGCGGCTATCTTTTTCTGTGCGAACAAAGGCAGCGGGACTTGGTCGTCGAGTGTCTAGAACTAAAATCGAACACTCAACTTCCCGAACACCGGTCCCAACATACGAACACCGGATCTTTATTTCCCGAACAGCTAGAAGAGGGCTGTTCGGTACTTTTGTTCATTTGTATGAGGGGAACAATCGCTGCTAAGAGCCAGGGGTAACCGTTCGTGGAATTATTCATTTTTTGCAACTTTACGAAATAGACTGGCAAAAATACCCAAACTCGTGGAACTGTTTTGGGAAGCAACATCGTGGTTAGCTGGTCACGAAAGACTTTCATACTTTTTGCGAACCCCTGAACCGATCAGGGTGAAATTTGAATATGTTGGTCACCCAGATCAGGGCTATCAGGGACATATTATTTGTGGGGATACCATATGCATAAAGGGGTGCTCTAAATATTGGGTCAAACTGTATTTTTTCTGCCTGGAGATAAATAAGTTATTACTTTATCAGACTTGATTATCTCCAGGACTAGGGGAGGGAATTGTATGTTTGTGCTGGGAGTGTTTTATGTTTTCCTTGTGAATGATTGGATGTACCATGTCCCTCCCTGTGGGATGTCCCCTTGCACGGGAACTTTCATAAAAGCCAGTGTGTGATAATTAAAAGCCAGTTCTGTTGCACCCTTCTTCTAGACTCCGGCTGATGTTTGGGTATTTGTATGCTTTCCTAAGGGAATCGTCTGGTAAAGCTATTGCATTCATATAGGAATCGTTTATTTTATCTGCCGAAGAGCTATAATCACTGATGCTCTGGCCGTTCGGAAGGAAACTACCGAATGAGTATTGGAAATACTAGGTTTACTTACACAGACTATATACAAAGAGCTTCTGCCTGCTAGTTGGAAGGTTCGGAGAGGAGTGGGCCAGCGAGTGCTAGGGGACAGTCCTTAGTGTAGCGCTAGCAAATCATTATACAAATTTATGCTAAGGGTGCTGTCTGCATGATTGATCCCTTTTTGGGCATGTTTAACCCCACCCTAAGTCACTGGAAATTGCTGTTAGGGAGCATGGAATTACTTGAAAGATGAAAGCGAGAGATTAATAGGCTATGTGTTTTCTTATAGCTATATCATGTGAGTTTCCCTCCAGCACCACCTCTACCCTCTACATGAAGCTTGGGAGGTAAACCTTTTTAGTGTTTTCTGCTGATAAGCTTCTGTAATTATAATTGTCAGGATCTGGCCCTGCCCTCAATACAACCTAGGTAAGAAGTAAAACCATTAGCAAAAGGTTTGACTTCTAATCTGGGGTCTTCCAGGTGCCAGTCCCTGCCTCTATAAGAGCAGCAAACTATCTGCTGAGCAAAATCCAGCCATGGAGAGCTTAGAGTGATCAGTTGGCCCTCTCAGCCAATAAGCTGGCCCTGCAGTGCTTGCCCTCGGAGAGCTAGAAGGAGTCTCCAAGAAGGTGCTCCTGGCTGTCACTGGCACAAGTGACCAGCAGCCAGCAGATCTTGGTTAGCAGTCCATCAGCAAATGATCTAACTACTTAGAATGGGTGGTGGGTGTCACATATTCATCCGCTTATAGAAATGTGGTTAATGACATTTACTGTCCACACAGGAAAAGTTGTGCCGAGCAGCAACCTAATCCACAGAAGGGTTAATGCTGAGCAGTAATTGTGCAAATGAAACCTGGTGTCATGTATTCATCCGCTTAGAGAAAAGTGATTAATGACATTTACTGTCCACACAGGAAAAGTTGTGCCGAGCAGCAACCTAATCCACAGAAGGGTTAATGCTGAGCAGCAATTATGCAAATGAAACCTGGTAACTGACTTTGGGGTCAAAGGCCGGTTACAGCCTATCAGAACTAAAGGAGGGGTATTTAGGCCCAGTTCTCAGCCTGCTCAGTGCCCTGTCGTGGTTTCCCTTGTGGTTGTCTGAGAGCGCGTTCCTGTTTATAGTTTTCTACCTGGTTTTGACTTTGGCTTTGTTTATTGACTTCTCTATATTCTGGTATCCTGACTCCTGGCTTTCCTCATCGCTGTGTCCCTTTCTGTGTTCCCTGACCTCGGCTAGTATTTTTGACTATTCTTTGTACGTTAAATCCGGCCATTCTAAGGACCGGTAATACGTTACTTATTTGTCATCCATGCTGTACAGTTCTACGTGCTGGATCAAACAGTAATCCTGACATTACGACATGGCCATAGATCCTGTAGAACTGTGTCAGCACATAGCTGCTTGTGAGAGGAAATTAGAGGAGAATGATCACCGCATGGATCAATTCACTCAGGCTTTAAGTACGCTTCTCGCTAGAACGGAGCATCTGCAGCCTGCAGCGTCTCCTCCTATAGCACCTCTACCCTGTGTACCTCCACCCACTGTTAATAGGACTCCTTGCATCTCCTTATCACCATCCCTACAGTTTGATGGCAATATCCAGGAATGCAGGGGTTTTCTTAATCAGGTGGAGTACCATTTTGAGGCCTCACCAGGGTCATTCCCCACGGACAGAGCAAGAATTGGTTATCTAATGAATCAATTAAAGGGCAAGGCCCTTGCCTGGGCTAATCCGTTGTGGGAGAGTAATCGGAGCATAGCTCATAATTACCAGGAATTCCTTGCCGAATTCAAGCTCACGTTTGAGCCATTGGGTAGAGAGGATGACGCCTCCACTGCCCTAATGCACATCAGACAAGGTAACCGGTCTATCTCGGATTATGCTATTGAATTCCGTACCTTAGCTTCCGAGGTAGACTGGACTAACAATGGGTTAATCTCAGCATTCAAAAAGGGTCTCTCAGAGACTATACTAGATGAGATAGCTGCTAAAGAATTACCTAAGAGTCTTAACGAATTTATTACGTTTGTCATGCATATTGATAATAGGTTAAGACTCAGAGAAGTCACCAGAAGCAAGACCAGACGTACGGCTATGTCCCTAGCACCTCAATTCTCTAAACCTGTTTTGTCTAACCTCCCTGTACAGTCCGAACCCGAACCTATGCAGTTGGGGGTCACTAGACTGTCAGAGGCCGAAAAACAGTATAGGAGAAGGGAGGGGTTATGCCTATATTGCGGTAGAAAGGGACATATGATAACTAATTGTCCAGTGCGTCCGGAAAACTTCCGCACCTAAGAACCTTAAGGGGACAGATCTTAGGTGTGATGGAGTTGTCCTCTAACAAAAACAAAAGTAGATTCCTCCTTGAGGTATCTATTTCCATTGATAACAATAAGTTTTCTTGCAGTGCCCTAATGGACTCAGGTGCTGCTGGAAATTTTATTGATGTCCAGTTTATTAGGGGTAATGAGATACCGGTCAGGGAGAGACCTACGCCGCTAGCTGTAGAGGCTATTGATGGTAGACCACTCACACAACCGCTTATAACCCACGAAACTGTCCCTATTACGATCGCCATTGGGGCCTCCCATAGGGAGGAGATGACGTTTCAGGTTATTACTTCTCCATCATGTCCTATCATATTAGGGTTTCCGTGGCTGAGTAAGCACAATCCCTATATTGACTGGGCTAATGGGGAGATATTAGAATGGGGTAAAGAGTGTATGGGGAGATGTATAAAACCAGTACTAAAGAGATTGGATACTATTGACCTTCCCACTATCACTCCCCAAACTCCTGGAGTTCCCATACAATACCGAGAACTTCAGGAGGTGTTTAACAAGGCTCAATCCGATGTATTGCCTCCCCACAGAGCATATGACTGTGCCATTAACCTGTTTCCAGGCGCTATGCCACCTAAGGGGGCAGTTTATGCCTTATCTCCCCAGGAGAGTAAAATAATGGAGGAATACATCAAAGAATCCTTGAGCAAAGGGCACATAAGAAAGTCATCCTCACCAGCTGGTGCAGGATTCTTTTTTGTTGAGAAAAAGGGTGGTGAGTTACGCCCTTGCATAGACTACAGGGCACTTAATAAAATCACTGTAAAAAATGCATACCCTATTCCACTCATTTCCGAATTGTTCGATAGACTTCAGGGAGCTAAAGTATTTACTAAGCTTGACCTTAGGAGCACTTACAATTTGGTTAGAATTAAAGAGAATCATGAGTGGAAGACGGCATTTAATACCCGTAGTGGACACTATGAATATCTGGTTATGCCATTTGGGTTATGCAACGCCCCGGCCGTATTCCAAGACTTTATAAATGATGTACTCAGGGAATTCATTTACTCATTTGTCTTGGTTTATTTGGACGATATTTTGGTGTATTCCCCTGATCTTCAAACTCACCACTCCCATGTGAAACAGGTTCTGCAGACGTTGTTGAAAAATAAACTTTATTGTAAATTAGAAAAGTGCATATTTGACCAGCCTGAAGTCCACTTTTTGGGTTACAACATCTCTGCATCGGGATTTCAAATGGATCCTAAAAAACTAGAGGCTGTACTACACTGGCCATTACCCTCTGGTTTAAAAGCCATTCAAAGGTTTATTGGTTTTGCCAACTATTACAGAAGATTCATCAAGGGATTTTCTTCTGTAATAGCCCCAATCACAAATATGACTCGCAAAGGGGTTAGTAGCACGGTATGGTCCAAAGAGGCTGTGAATGCTTTTGAGACTCTTAAACAAAGATTTGCCTCTGCGGACATACTAAAACATCCTGACACCAGTAAACCTTTTATATTGGAGGTTGATGCATCCGAGACAGGGGTAGGGGCTGTTCTCTCTCAGAGAGAAAGCCAGGGAACACCATTGCATCCTTGTGGCTACTTCTCCAGAAAGATGTCTCCTGCTGAGCGCAACTATGATATTGGCAATAGAGAACTGTTGGCCATTATTCTTGCCCTCAAGGAGTGGCGACATCTTTTGGAGGGTTCCAAGGACCCCCTGTTGATCATAACCGACCACAAAAATCTGGCATATATAGGGGATGCCAAACGTTTGTCTTCCAGACAGGCTAGATGGTCACTGTTCCTTTCACGTTTTAACTTTCTCATTACTTATAGACCTGGTTCTAAAAATACCAAGGCTGATGCCTTGTCCAGGCAATTTGATAATGAGTCAGCTCCGGAACAGGTGACATCTCCTATTATTCCACCAGAGTGTATTATTGCTACTACTGTCCTCTCACTGTCTTCTCCACTGCTTGGCACCATACTGGAGGCCCAGCCTCAGGCGCCCAGTGGTAAACCGTGTGATAAACTGTTCGTTCCCCTATGTGAAAGGGTTAATATCATGAAAGTGTTCCATGACAATATAACTGCTGGACACCCGGGCATCAATAAGTCCACTGCCGCGATCACTAGATCATTTTGGTGGGATTCACTCAGGAAAGATGTAAAGGAGTATGTGCAGGCATGTTCTGTGTGTGCAGTTTCTAAGGTGACTCATGCACTTCCTTGTGGCCTGTTGCAGCCTCTTCCTGTTCCTGAAATTCCATGGTCCCACCTATCCATGGACTTTATTTTTGAGCTTCCTAGCTCTGCTGGGTTCACTACTATTCTCATGGTTGTAGACCGATTTTCTAAGATGGCTCACTTCATTCCTCTCAAGAAGTTGCCATCTTCGCAAGATTTGGTCCTAATTTTCATACGTGAAATTGTCCGTTTGCATGGCATCCCCACAATATTGTGTCTGATAGGGGCTCTCAGTTTGTGTCCAGGTTCTGGAGGGCGTTCAGTAAACAATTGGGGATTGATCTCTCCTTCTCCTCCTCCTACCATCCACAGACCAATGG